TCATCTACCTATTGCTTATACCTATTGTCCCAGTGTACTATTAATAACCACCCCTCGTTTCTACTCTCCAGTGGGTATTGGTTTGGATGATTAATTATCTGTTCATTTTACTGATTAATAATAGAAATTAAATCAAATGTGCAACCTCAGAAACTTATCTAAAGTGAAAGTGATTTATGTTCCATGCTGGGGCATTTTTTGTCTTAAATTTCTACATAGATTAGTAATACCTGGGGTTTTTCTCTAAAATTAAATACTCCTGGCCCAACTCCCAGATATGATGACCCACTAGAGCCAAAGTGTGCCAAGGAATCTGCAATTTAAGCAAGCAGCACTTTTCTCCCTCCTCCTTCAGTCTGGTGACTGAGTGGAGTTGTTGTTGGCCCACCCTGAGAAAGACTAAAGAATGTTAGTTATTTGTCAGTGTTGGAAGAAATATGGGAGTCAGAATTGAAGGATGACTGAGAGGCGAAGAGCTCTCATTTAGTGATTGTCATTTTAATCATAGTTCAATAAACTCCTGCTTATACTATTCGAGTAGTGTCGAATCTCACTGTCCTCTCAATGATAACCTCTCTCCAATCAGTCCTCAACAATGTAGCACGGAACTATTTCAAATATGACCATTTTATCTCTGCCCTTACCACCTCCACCTTCCTGGGTAGTGGCTTACCTTTCACTACTACAAGATTCCTCGACCTATGCCTTGCTCCATCTGCCCATCCAGCCTCTTCTCTATCCCCAGCAATAATACCAACTTCCATTCAGACCTTCCCTGTTTTACCCCACTCTTCTCAGCTCATAGTCATTTCTTGACTAACTTGCACTGTGCCTTCAGCTCACAGTTTGGGAAACCTGACCTTCCTTCCATACTCCTCTATCTCTGAATCATAAAATACCATGAAACTTGCCCACAGCAAACATTGCATTGTTGTTTCATGTTTCCTTGTGATTTAAAAAATATTATTATTGTAAAGGTGCTATACATAGGGGTTACAGTTACGTAAGTCAGGTAATGAGTACATTTCTTTTTGGACAATGTCACCCCTTCCCTAGTTCCTTCCCAGTTATTCCTTCTCATTTCCACCCATAAGCTGTATAGTTCATTTTCAACATAGTGTCTAGTGAATATCCCTGCTGCATTTCTTCACCTTTTGTCCCTCATTGCTGTTTGCTAGCAACTTTTTAATTATCCTTTAAGTAGTTATATAAAGAAGTTTCAATCCAGCCTGTTTGTGAGTACAGTGCCTCTTGATCTATTTATGATCTTTTGATTAGCAGCCAACTCCTCCCCAAGACTGTAAGCTCCATGAGAACAGGAGCCTGTGTGTTGGTTCACTAGCATTTCTGTGATGGTGTCCAGCATTTAACTGCTCAGCAAATATTTCCTGAATGCATTGTTTAATTAAAGTAAGGTGACCTCAGGAAACATTTATGGAATCCTACTTGGTGGCTATTCTAGAAGAAAGTGGTAACCTGAAAGTGAATAAGACATGTTTGCACATTTCAGGAAAAGTGTTCTGTTCATTTTCCTCCCTGTTTTTATTAAAGCTTCCTAACTTATAAAAGCAACACACTACTGGCTGTCAGTGAAGAGCTGGGCTGTTTGACTTTGGACTAACTAAGCTCCCTAGACTATCATCTGTCTAAGTTGAACTGATGTGATTCAGAGCTTTGTGTTGATTGATATTATTTTACATAGGCCTGATGATGCCAACTGCTCAAGAACAAAAGATGAGAGTTCCCCCAGAAGTGAATCATTACCTTGGTTACCACTTAGAGAAAAGTAGAGCTCTAAGGATTGCTTTATGTACCGACAAGGCAAAATTTGATTTAAACCCTTCAATGCTAACTGAACTCCTAAATCTTTAGCTTTCTGAGTACCGGCTGGTATTTGTTGAGGCAAACAAGCTTATGGCTTCAATCATGTATGAAATATGTGGTGAGTGAAAGTTGTTTGCATGGTAGCCTCACATTTATAGAATTTGCTGCTGATTAAAGTCCGTTAAAATGAAAACAGGTCACCTTTAGGATCAACTATTTCTATTTACAATTTGGCAAAGCTGAATGAATGGACTTAGCTTATTTTCCTTTTCCTTTCTGAAAGCTTTGTAAAGAGAACATACCTTATTCTGACCTCTGTTTCTTTTTGTTGAATCTCTCTCTCTTTTTACCATGGTATATCTCAGGTGCTTTGTGTACATAAAATGCATATACTTGAATTTTAAAATATTACCATGAAGCCAGGCACTGATGGCTTATGCCTGGAATCCTTGCTACTCAAGAGGCTGAGATCTGAGAATCACAATTCAAAGCCAGCCTGGACAGAAAAAGTCTATAGGACTCTTATCTCCAATTAACCATCAAAGAGATGATCAATTGGTAGAGTGCCAGCCTTGAGCAAAAAAATCTAAGAGACAGTGCTCAGGCTATGATTTCAAGCTCTAGTACCAGTTGTATTGTGTGTGTGTGTGTATGTAGATAGACAGATACATACATACATATGTACATGCATGTATACTATATATGTACTATAAATACATATACTGTAATATTTTTAGGAGTGTAAGGTAAATTCCACAGCTATCCTATGTGAAACTGGTCATTGTAGCCTGCTAAAAGATTGTACTCTCTTACTCCTTCACTGATCAATGATGAAGGGAAGAATTAGAGAAAAACACTTTTTAAATGGAATTCTGCTTATAGCTCGGTGACCATTTGAGGAGCACAAAGCCATGGCTTTCTTCCCTGGGAGATGTCATGTCAAAGTAGGTCTGAGGCCTTCTAGTTATCTCTCACCAACATGCTAACAATGTGCTGTCTACTTCACACCATTCAGACTGCTCCTTTGAATTCTGTTGCCAGCATCTGGGTCAGATGGCTCAGTTGCATATGAGATATGCAAAGCTCATTGACCCATGGGGCAAGCTGAAAGTGCTAGGTAATGAACACTACAGCAACTACTCCCAACCAATGAATTTTAAGGGGTTAATGAATAAGCACTCTAACTCCTTCTCTTAGATCTTAGATTTCTCTGTTTCCCAAGACATTTAGCTTTGGTCACTGAATGATAATGTCTTGCACAGGCTTTTAGACTTTTCCTACTGATACTTTCTGAGCTTCTCAAATAAACTATTTGCACTCAAACCTTTGTTTTTTATGGACTGAAGTAGACACTAATGATAAGGAATGCAAATGTGGAGAGTGTGTTGTGAAGATATATTTTGTAGGCAAATATATTTCAGAAGCCTAGTTGCTCTGCCTTCTCTATCCTCCTGGCTCTGGAGAACCTTCATCTGTACCCACAAGTACTGTCATCCCCATCTCCCCTGTGTTCTATAGCAAACGGCTCTATCTTCTCCATCCTGTAAAAGGTTTCTACTTGCCTATGCAATCCCTTCAGCTATAGTTCTTTGTGTTTCCTTCCCTTCCCTGCCACACTTTCAAATGAACATCTGAGAAAATTGCCTCTATTTTCTTCTCTTTTTACTTTTTTGCTTAACCACAGACAATTTGGACACCATTGTCACAGTTTAGGCAAAATGCTTTCAAATTCTCCCTAATCATCTTTCTCTCATTTTGTTCTCTTGTCATTTCTGTTCCCATCGATTGTATTGATAAAATTTCCTCCCTGAAAACTGTGTTCTGGTAACTAACTGAATTCTTAGAATTTTAACATCAGAAGGGGCACTTAGTACTCCCTACCTTTACATGTGGGAGAAAGTAAGACCTAAAAATTTCCAATCATTTACTCAATGAGGTCCTAAAAAGTAAAATGTCATGGAAGTGAAGCTACAATGATGATAGATTGATATATATTTATATATATGCACACACTTACACTTTCATATATTTAGATATATAGATATGTACACTTACATATATATGGGTGTATAGCAAGACTTTATTTTACATACCTTATAGTGTATTTTCAAATAAATTAAACTGCTTTTGAAACCTTTGGCTAATATAGTATGAAAACCTCTTTTTTCCCCCTCTATCTTAGGCTGTTTCTGGCTAAGTAAATGTCATGAGAACCTAAAGTGTAAGAATTATACCCTTTTTTGCTTCTGTATTTGCAAATGATCTTAGCTTAGTACTAAATATAAAGAGATTTGTTACGATTGATAATCTAATTTAGCTCAACCAGTTGGCAACCAGCTATATTAAAGCAAAAATTTCTGCAGTGCACTTAGAATTAAATAATGGGAAGGAATGACAAGGGTCCTGATATAAGCACACAATGGATCAGATTTGGTTCACATAATATTCTCTTGACATTTCTCTTTCCTTTGAAAACAAGAGCCAAGCATGAGTCTCAAATTAATACTTCTCAGCTTCCAAAAAGCTGCCAGAAACAAGGTTGAGTGAGGCTTTTCCAACAGGGAGACAAGTCAAGATAACAACATTTGATGTTTGCCTCAAGGCTATATTCCACATCTTGAGGTGTTTGAGCAAGGACTAAGGGGTTCTTAAAAGCCATGTCATTATTGAGCTAAAGGAGCTAATTGATTTAACTTAGAATTCAGACAGTATTTAGTTCAATATTTCCTGATATTTTATTTTCCCTTAAATTAATTAAATGGTTGCACAGCCACTGGATCTAATGATCCTATTTTTGGGAAGCTGAGCCTTTCCTAAATCAAGGCATTGAGGTTGAGGTACTTTTTCAAGGTTTAAAGCACAACTGAATTCCATTGTGTGGTTAAAAATGGATTAACTGCATGACTTCACCTAGAGCTTTGCTAGTATGTGGCTTTTCCAACTGGGGAGAGAACATCTGCCTTAAGACAGGGTGACCCAGTGGCTTTGTCCTGATGGTGTATAGTAAAAACTAAAATAAAATATCATTTCCTGTATTCATTAATATAAGCAGCACTTGCTATCTTACTCTGGAAAAATGCAATATCAAAAGAAGAATAGCACAATTATTTTGCTTTAGACTAGTGCTTATTTTCCAGGGGAGATTATTGAAAAACAGTCATTCTTTTTTGCTTCAGGAGAAACTGTCAGAGGAAGAGAGAAAACACAAGGAAGCTTTGGATGATCTTCACGTGGTGTTAGATGAGGATTCGAGGAGCGAAAGCAGCAGTACAGATGAGGGAAAAGAAAAGACCAAATTGCTGTTAGAAAGATTGAAAGCTCTAGAGGTAAGAAATGGAACCGTTTTTACACATTTAAAGAAAAATAACAGTGTTCTGCTTTTATTGGCACTGCTTTTAAGTGAGTATAAATCTTCCTTTTTCATTTCTCCTAGACTGATGCAATCAAATGTCTGTCATTGAGATTCTTTTGTCAATGATGGACATAAAGTTACAAATTGCAGTACTGAAAGGGTCTTGATCCACTGACCATTATTGTATTGCCTTAAAAGGAAGACATAGGACAATAATTCACTTCAAATTCATTTTACAACTCAAACTGGATTAGTTCCTAAAATTGCAGCTTCCTGTGGCAAGGGCTTCTGCGATACTTCACCAGGTTTGCCTAAAGACTTGAAATGAGTGATTGAATAAGCAAAATATCTCTCAAAAAATCATGTATAGGGGCTGGGAAGGTGGCTCAGTGGTAGCGTCTTGCTTAGCATGCATGAGGCCCTGGGCTCAATCCCTCAGTACCACATAAGCAGGGGGGGAAATACCAGAAGTGGCACTGTGGCTCAAGTGGTAGAGTGCTAGCCTTGAGCTGAAGAGCTAAGGACAGCTCCCAGGCCCAAAGTTCAGGGCCCAGGACTAGACCAAAAAAAAATCATGTATAGAAGTTAGATATGCAAAAAATGATGAGTTGAAACCAGCCTTTCAGACTTTTTTTTGGAATACTATAATTCCCTACAACACTGCTTAGAAAACAGCAATCTGTATTTAGTGGCATTTGAAATCATTTTAAGTATCAGTTGATATCAGGTATCAGTGGGTATCAGAACATTCCAGATATTACTCCTTGATTGAAATTTTATATGCTAAAATCATCAGGTGAAGATTTCTCTTTACAAATGAGTTTGCTTACCTCTCTTCCATAAACTTGCAATAGTCCTTTACCCAGTCATCTAAAAATATATTTAACCATGGCATTCAGAGTCCTAATTGTTAAACTAAGAAGAACCTCCACAAAGAGAGAGATGTTATTCTCTCTGCTTATTTTCTGTAACCCTGTCTCTAATCCTCGACATTGTCTACTGTGAGCAGATCCTTTATATTCTAATTTCTTAACAAATATGGTAGCAAAACTGTTGAGATTGTGAAACTTGAAGACAGACTCAGAGTTTTGCTTGAATCCCTGTTCAACTTTCTTTAAAAAATGTTCAGAGTTCCCTAGTCCCTCTGTGTCTGTTTACTCAATTGTAAAAATGGAGATAGCAATAGTAACTAATCTTACGGGAAAGTAATGAGGATTAAACAAGTTAATATTTATACATTTCCCTTCTATGTGATGTATTCTGTTAATCATTCATAAATGGTTTCCTATTTACTTGTGTACGATGTCTGCCAAGAACTACGAATTAGAACTTCAGCTAATCCATACAGTATTACCACAGGTCTGTAGGTGAACCAGTGATGTCAGATACCAGACCCTAGGTCCAGCAGAAATCAGCTAAGGAAGTCACTCCCAGCTTTGACATCTCTATCCCCAAATAGTCAGATATCACCTGTCTCCTCCAAGAGTTCCCATACTTTTTGTTTTAACATTCAAAGCCAGTCATTATAAAAGATAAGAAAAGCCTTCTTGGGAAGACTGAAGATTTGTTTCAGTGTGCTAAGAAATCTTTAGTTTTGTCTTCAGCCTGAATTAACTGGATTCAATCATAGGAATGAGTTGGTATTACATGTATTTAATTTGTTACCAGTTATTTATGATTGCAGTGAAAGTTGTTCTGAGTTCGTCTCTTTGTCAGAGACCACTTGTGAAGGGCATTTCATTCAATCAAGCTAAGAGGAATTTAAGAAATGTTTTTGGCAATGAATGTTAAACTTCAAAGCTGAAAAAGGAGCCATGTTTTTTTGTCCTTCCACAGGGATCCTTACACTTTGGGCAACAATTCTTTCCAGAATTACTTGGATGCAGTAAATGATTTTAATCCACAAAACACTGTGTTTTCTAAATTAATCTCCTCTAGTCAAAATATCATTGCTTATTTTCTAAAATAGTTCAATGTCATTAGGTTAACTTTCTTCTTGCCAGTCTATTACACCATTCTATTTGAGGATTCTGAAGTAATCTTTTATTATATAAAATCAAAGTTTTTTTCATTTTATGTAATCTGATTTTTGTAGGAATTTTATATTCACCTTAATTCTTTACAGTTGTTGAAATTTATCCCATAGATTGCTGCATAGATGAAAATGCATTGTGGAAAAATAGGGCTAATTTTGACAGGTTGTGATTAGAGGTAGTCACAGACCCCCATGTGAATTCAAGCACTTAAACAAAATGTTCCTTTAAAAGACTGAAATGATAATGCATAATGCATCAAAATTGCCTTGGCAGGATTTGATATGGTATATCAAGATTTTAGAAAAACAAAGACTATTTTCCATCAACGCATATTTGAAACAACTGTACATACCTACCCTGATATCTCTGTTACCAGTGTAGGAAACAGAAAATGATTCTCAGGGGGATAGAAAGCAGGTTTCTTCTACTCCTGCTTCCCAAAAAGGGCACAAGAAGTTGTGGAAACAGATGCAAAGTTCACTTCTAGTAATATATTCTTGATCAATGCAACAATATTATTTATCATATTTAACAATTAACACAATTGTATCTGAGATGCCTCTGACTTTGGCAGTTAAGTGCATAGTTTCCAGATATTTTATTTCCTGGCCTACAGAAAGCCTAGTGTTATCTTTTCTAGGGCTGGGTCCTGCTGACGTTCAATTTTTGAACTCTTGCTTCACTCAGAACATCATCATGAGGAATAATACCACCTTTCCTGGGTTTTCCCCAACATCCAAAGCCACAAGTACAGGGTTTCTGTCAGAATATCCATTTCATCCCAATTGTTCACTGCAAGAAAGGTTTCAATGGTATTGCCTTCAATTTCCAGCTTCTGGACATATAACTTAGATATCTCTTTCTCACCCACTTTGTCTTACAGCCAACTTCCCCATAATTTTTATGCACAGCTCTTTAGGACTCTATGCTCTACTTCATGGGTTTGTTTCCTGATGTTCCAGGATCATCAGAGTATTTTACTAAATAAATTATTTAACTGTAATATTTAACAGAATGCCAGGTCCAACAGTCAAAATCATATGCACACACAGAGACATTCTCCCATTTACCTTCAAAACTCAGTCACTGCTTCCTAAGGGCCTAAAGGCTCATTTTTATTTAAGTTCTGATGTAGGGGAGAAAGTGTGAGGTGGTATTTTGTGTCTGGATTATCACATAGGTGATCTGGATGCGACTTGCATGTCTTCTTGTCAGTGTCAAGATGTAGTATTTTCCATTTTGTTTTGTTTTCATGTTTGCGTTTTAAAGATTGCCATGTCAGGGACAGTTTTCTTGACTTAGAAAAGAAAGTTCACAGTTCTGAATAATGCTATATCATTGTTGTGAAAAAGGTTTATGCTTTTCTCCCACCTTACTTTATGCCTTTGATTCCAGGGATCTCTCCAGACTTGCTGTCCAGGATACATTGACTTCACCTTGAGTCTTCTCTGTTTTGCCTCAGGCCCTGTATTTGTTTATGGTACCTTCCTCACAATGTAGGATTTGCTTGTCTCCAAGCTCCATCCCCAAACTCCCAACAGCTCTTTCTCTCCAATGAGGGATTAGCCCCATACTTGACCTTAAATGAAACTAGACATTCCTTCATAGAGTCTCTGATTCCCACACTCTAGCCAGGGGAAAGAATAGGTTTGGGATCATTTCAGAGTTCTGAGTCTCCAAATAAGTATCTTAGCTACAGCCTCGAGGTCAAACAAATTTGAACTTTTATGGAAAAGATTTATTTTGTACACAAAAATATGGCAATTAAATATGTTAAGGCAAATAGCAGGTTTTTCTACTCAATTATACCTTTCTATGAAAATATGACACTTAAAGTGCTAAGTATAAACATTCTGTTAATCAGTAATTCCTGCTTAAAATTAGGTTGTTTAAAATAGTCAAACCTGGTTGTACATCTCAATTTTACATAGATCTTGTAGTCAATGGATACATGCTAAAGACACATTCGAGGGGCCAAAAGCCAAAAATTCAAAAGCACTGGGTCATGGCAGTTTTTCTGTTTTTCATCTCAGTGGGTAGAAACAAGAATCACAACTTAAAAAAATAAACAAGTGACTCTGAGTGAGAAAAATCAGATGATACTGCAGCAGAGAAAGTATGAAAGACATTTACCTACCTCAGAAGCCACCTGATCTATGTACCACATATACAGTAACAAGAAGCCAGCTGTGTGAAGATCTGGAAAGACCAGCATGCCTCTTGCTACATGCTGGTCTTCCTTCATGTAGAGAGCTTGGCAAATTAAAAGCACAGAATTTTGCCCTGGAATATCAATAATAAGATTTTTATAAAACTGAAAGATGATTTTAGGGAGGTAGACAAGGATCAGATTCTGTGAAACTTTGTAGGCCATTGTCACAATAAAGACACTGAAAAGAATTATAAATTCTACAAGGACCCATTGGAGACTTTCAGCTCAGGAAACAACATGAGGTGACTATTTACTTTGCAAAAGCAGTTTTTGTGGGTACTAGTGGGGCAGAGGAGAGTCAAAGACATGAGTCAAAAGGGTTGTTATTTTTATTTGAAGGTCTGGGCCTGGTACTCAAACTCAGTACCTACCACTTTCACACTTGACTAGCTCTCTGTCAGCTGAGCCAAGCCTCCAACCCTGTGTTGTTCTTTTAAAGTTCCAGATAAAAGCTATTAGTAACTTGGGCGGTTATGGGTGCCTAAGAGTAAGAGGGTATAATAATATTATATTATAATATCACTAGAAAATAAGACCACTGAGTAATAATAATCACTCTGCTAGAAAACCCTTCTATAGAGCTACTGTGTACCAAGCACCATATCTATATAATTTTAATCTGCATATGTAATGCAGAATGTAATGTAAAATAGGGTGGTTACAGTATCATCATCATCATCATTTGACAAATGAAACAACTGAGCCCCAGAAAGATTTATTGTCTTA